TCTATCCAGTTTGTACACTTTAAACTCTCTCTAGTTTGAACACAGTAGCACTCTATCTAGTTTCAAAACATTGACACTCTATCTAGTTTGTACACAGTAACACTCTATCCAGTTTCAACACAGTAACACTCTTTCCAGTTTGTACACAGTAACACTCTATCCAGTTTCAACACAGTAACACTCTGTCCAGTTTGTACACAGTAACACTCTATCTAGTTTGAACACAGTAACACTCTGTCCAGTTTGTACACAGTAACACTCTATCCAGTTTGTACACAGTTACACTCTATCTAGTTTCAACACAGTAACACTCTATCCAGTTTCAACACAGTAACACTCTGTCCAGTTTGTACACAGTAACACTCTATCTAGTTTCAACACAGTAACACTCTGTCCAGTTTGTACACAGTAACACTCTGTCCAGTTTGTACACAGTTACACTCTATCTAGTTTCAACACAGTAACACTCTGTCCAGTTTGTACACAGTAACACCCTATCCAGTTTCAACACAGTAACACTCTGTCCAGTTTGTACACAGTAACACTCTATCCAGTTTCAACACAGTAACACTCTGTCCAGTTTGTGCACAGTAACACTCTATCCAGTTTCAACACAGTTATACTCTGTCCAGTTTCAACACAGTAACACTCTATCCAGTTTCAACACAGTAACACTCTGTCCAGTTTGTACACAGTAACACTCTATCCAGTTTCAACACAGTAACACTCTGTCCAGTTTGTACACAGTAGCACTCTATCTAGTTTCAACACAGTAACAGTCTGTCCAGTTTGTACACTTTAAACTCTCTCTAGTTTGAACACAGTAACACTCTATCTAGTTTCAAAACATTGACACTCTATCTAGTTTGAACACAGTAACACTCTATCCAGTTTGTACACAGTAACACTCTATCCAGTTTCAACACAGTAACACTCTGTCCAGTTTGTACACATTAACACTCTATCCAGTTTGTACACATTAACATTCTATCGTGTTTCAACATAGTAACACTCTATCTAGTTTGAACACAGTAACACTCTCTCTAGTTTGAACACAGTAGCACTCTATCTAGTTTCAAAACATTGACACTCTATCTAGTTTGAACACAGTAACACTCTATCCAGTTTGTACACAGTAACACTCTGTCCAGTTTGTACACAGTTACACTCTATCTAGTTTCAACACAGTAACACTCTGTCCAGTTTGTACACAGTAACACTCTATCCAGTTTCAACACAGTAACGCCATGCCCAGTTTGTACACAGTAACACTCTATCCAGTTTCAAGACAGTAACACTCTGTCCAGTTTGTACACTGTAACACTCTATCCAGTTTCAACACAGTAACACTCTGTCCAGTTTGTACACAGTAACACTCTGTCCAGTTTGTACACAGTTACACTCTATCTAGTTTCAACATAGTAACACTCTGTCCAGTTTGTACACATTAGCACTCTATCTAGTTTCAACACAGTAACAGTCTGTCCAGTTTGTACACTTTAAACTGTCTCTAGTTTGAACACAGTAACACTCTATCTAGTTTCAAAACATTGACACTCTATCTAGTTTGAAAACAGTAACACTCTATCCAGTTTCAACATAGTAACCCTCTATCCAGTTTGTACACAGTAACACTCTATCCAGTTTAAACATAGTAACACTCTGTCCAGTTTGTACACATTAGCACTCTATCTAGTTTCAACACAGTAACAGTCTGTCCAGTTTGTACACTTTAAACTGTCTCTAGTTTGAACATAGTAACACTCTATATAGTTTCAAAACATTGACACTCTATCTAGTTTGTACACATTAACATTCTGTCCAGTTTGTACCCAGTTACACTCTATCCAGTTTCAACACAGTAACACTCTGTCCAGTTTGTACACAGTAACACTCTATCTAGTTTCAACACAGTAACACTCTGTCTAGTTTGTACACAGTAACACTCTATCCAGTTTCAACACAGTAACACTCTGTCCAGTTTGTACACAGTAACACTCTATCCAGTTTCAACACAGTAACACTCTGTCCAGTTTGTACACAGTAACACTCTATCCAGCTTCAACACAGTAACACTCTGTCCAGTTTGTACACAGTAACACTCTATCCAGTTTCAACACAGTAACACTCTGTCCAGTTTGTACACAGTAACACTCTATCGAGTTTGAGTACAGTAACGCTCTATCCAGTTTGTACACTTTAAACTCTCTCTAGTTTGAACACAGTAGCACTCTATCTAGTTTCAAAACATTGACACTCTATCTAGTTTGTACACAGTAACGCTCTATCCAGTTTCAACACAGTAACACTCTGTCCAGTTTGTACACAGTAACACTCTATCCAGTTTCAACACAGTAACACTCTGTCCAGTTTGTACACAGTAACACTCTATCTAGTTTCAACACAGTAACACTCTGTCCAGTTTGTACACAGTAACACTCTGTCCAGTTTGTACACAGTTACACTCTATCTAGTTTCAACACAGTAACACTCTATCCAGTTTCAACACAGTAACACTCTGTCTAGTTTGTACACAGTAACACTCTATCTAGTTTCAACACAGTAACACTCTGTCCAGTTTGTACACAGTAACACTCTGTCCAGTTTGTACACAGTTACACTCTATCTAGTTTCAACACAGTAACACTCTGTCCAGTTTGTACACAGTAACACTCTATCCAGTTTCAACACAGTAACACTCTGTCCAGTTTGTACACAGTAACACTCTATCCAGTTTCAACACAGTAACACTCTGTCCAGTTTGTGCACAGTAAGACTCTATCCAGTTTCAACACAGTTATACTCTGTCCAGTTTCAACACAGTAACACTCTATCCAGTTTCAACACAGTAACACTCTGTCCAGTTTGTACACAGTAACACTCTATCCAGTTTCAACACAGTAACACTCTGTCCAGTTTGTACACAGTAGCACTCTATCTAGTTTCAACACAGTAACAGCCTGTCCAGTTTGTACACTTTAAACTCTCTCTAGTTTGAACACAGTAGCACTCTATCTAGTTTCAAAACATTGACACTCTATCTAGTTTGAACACAGTAACACTCTATCCAGTTTGTACACAGTAACACTCTATCCAGTTTGAACACAGTAACACTCTGTCCAGTTTGTACACAGTAACCCTCTATCCAGTTTCAATACAGTAACACTCTGTCCAGTTTGTACACAGTAACACTCTATCCAGTTTCAACACAGTAACACTCTGTCCAGTTTGTACACTGTAACACTCTATCCAGTTTCAACACAGTAACACTCTGTCCAGTTTGTACACAGTAACACTCTATCCAGTTTGTACACAGTTACACTCTATCTAGTTTGAACATAGTAACACTCTGTCCAGTTTGTACACATTAGTACTCTATCTAGTTTCAACACAGTAACAGTCTGTCCAGTTTGTACACAGTAACACTCTATCCAGTTTGAACATAGTAACACTCTGTCCAGTTTGTACACAGTAACACTCTATCCAGTTTCAACACAGTAACACTCTGTCCAGTTTGTACACAGTAACACTCTATCCAGTTTGTACACATTAACATTCTATCGTGTTTCAACATAGTAACACTCTATCTAGTTTGAACACAGTAACACTCTCTCTAGTTTGAACACAGTAGCACTCTATCTAGTTTCAAAACATTGACACTCTATCTAGTTTGAACACAGATACACTCTATCCAGTTTGTACACAGTAACACTCTGTCCAGTTTGTACACAGTTACACTCTATCTAGTTTCAACACAGTAACACTCTGTCCAGTTTGTACACAGTAACACTCTATCCAGTTTCAACACAGTAACGCTATGCCCAGTTTGTACACAGTAACACTCTATCCAGTTTCAACACAGTAACACTCTGTCCAGTTTGTACACTGTAACACTCTATCCAGTTTCAACACAGTAACACTCTGTCCAGTTTGTACACAGTAACACTCTGTCCAGTTTGTACACAGTTACACTCTATCTAGTTTCAACACAGTAACACTCTGTCCAGTTTGTACACAGTAACACTCTATTTAGTTTCAACACAGTAACACTGTCCAGTTTGTACACATTAACACTCTGTCCAGTTTCAACACAGTAACGCTCTGTCTAGTTTGTACACAGTAACACTCTATCCAGTTTCAACACAGTAACACTCTGTCCAGTTTGTACACAGTAACACTCTATCTAGTTTCAACACAGTAACACTCTGTCCAGTTTGTACACTTTAAACTCTCTCTAGTTTGAACACAGTCGCACTCTATCTAGTTTCAAAACATTGACACTCTATCTAGTTTGAACACGGTAACACTCTATCCAGTTTGAACACAGTAACAATGTGACTGTGGGATATGACTTAGTTGTCATTTCTTTGATTCTTTTGTCAATATGTACAGCAGAATAGGAGATCATGCTACAAAAGAAGGGACATCTTAGGGATATCATATCATTCATGTCTTCATTACAGCCCTGTCAACACATTGATATGTTAAGTCAAGATCATCTTTAAGGCCACAGCTTAATGAATAGTTTGTGTACTGCCTTTTCAAGAAGGAGTTGTTGTAGGTCAACATATGCCTTGTTTGCAGAACTGATAGTTGTCATTTCCATATTACAGGAGAACTGATAATTGTCTTTCTGATTTTACTGGAGATCTGATAAATGTGTTTCCAATATTACTGGGGAACTGATAATGTCAGCAGTAGTTGTAGCAGGCCTAACGACAGAATGCTGCCTTGCTGGTGCATGTATGTCTGGCTCAGTGTTTCTCCCTTTGCAAGTTCTCTCATAACAGGAAGTCATCTATCACTTCCTGGTGATGCTTTGACACTGAACATCGGACACACTCAAGTAGAAGTTGAAGGATTCTATTACCATAGGACTTTATGTTATAGAAAAGGCTCATTACAGAATGTGCATATCTATATCCTTGTATGTTCAGAGATAGATGTGAAAACTTGCTTTATCAGTAATACATTGGGTTTCTGTTTTTTCTAACTTCTAGATATGATTCAGCTCCCATCCTACCCAGGGGCAACTTCATCCCAAGCAGTTAGTGAACCAGGTGAGGAAACATAGATCGTAGTGACCTGCTACAGTGAGCCAGGTGAGGAAACACAGATCTTAGTGACCTGTTACAGTGAACCAGGTGAGGAAACAGATCTTAGCGACCTGTTACAGTGAGCCAGGTGAGGAAACACAGATCTTAGCGACCTGTTACAGTGAACAAGGTGAGGAAGCATAGATCTTAGTGACCTGTTACAGTGAACAAGGTGAGAAAACATAGATCTGAGTGACCTGTTACACTCAACCAGGTGAGGTAACACAGATCTTAGCGACCTGTTACAGTGAACCAGGTGAGGAAACACAGATCTTAGTGACCTGTTACAGTGAGCAAGGTGAGGAAGCATAGATCTTAGTGACCAGTTATAGTGAACAAGGTGAGGAAGCATAGATCTGAGGGACCTGTTACACTCAACCAGGTGAGGAAACGCAGATCCTAGCGACCTGTTACAGTGAACCAGGTGAGGAAACACAGATCTTAGCGACCTGATACAGTGAACCAGGTGAGAAAACACAGATCTTAGCGACCTGTTACAGTGAACAAGGTGAGGAAGCATAGATCTTAGTGACCTGTTACAGTGAACAAGGTGAGGAAGCATAGATCTTAGTGACCAGTTATAGTGAACAAGGTGAGGAAGCATAGATCTGAGTGACCTGTTACAGTGAACTAGGTTGGAAAACACAGATCTTAGTGACTTGTTACAGTCAACCAGGTGAGGAAACAGATCTTAGCGACTTGTTACAGTGAACCAGGTGAGGAAACACAGATCTTAGTGACTTGTTACAGTGAACCAGGTGAGGAAACACAGATGTTAGTGACCTGTCACTGTGAACCAGATGAGGAAACACAGATCTTAGTGATCTGTTACAGTGAACAAGGTGAGGAAGCATAGATCTTAATGACCTGTTACAGTGAACCAGGTGAGGAAGCATAGATCTTAGTGACCTATTACAGTGAACAAGGTGAAGAAACATAGATCTGAGTGACCTGTTACAGTGAACCAGGTGAGGAAACAGATCCTAGTGACTTGTTACAGTGAACCAGGTGAGGAAACACAGATCTTAGTGACTTGTTACAGTGAACCAGGTGAGGAAACACAGATATTAGTGACCTGTCACTGTGAACCAGGTGAGGAAACACAGATCTTAGTGATCTGTTACAGTGAACAAGGTGAGGAAGCATAGATCTTAGTGACCTGTTACAGTGAACCAGGTGAGGAAGCATAGATCTTAGTGACCTGTTACAGTGAACAAGGTGAGGAAACATAGATCTTAGCGACCATTTACAGTGAACTACGTTGGAAAACACAGATCTTAGTGACTTGTTACAGTCAACCAGGTGAGGAAACAGATCTTAGTGACTTGTTACAGTGAACCAGGTGAGACAACACAGATCTTAGTGACCTGTCACTGTGAACCAGGTGAGGAAACACAGATCTTAGTGATCTGTTACAGTGAACAAGGTGAGGAAGCATAGATCTTAGTGACCTGTTACAGTGAACCAGCTGAGGAAACAGATCTTAGCGACCACTGTTTCAGCTTCTTCTGTTTACCATGGATGTATTTTATGAAACTTCTTTGGCAAGTTTTCATTTTGCTGTCATGTTTTTACCTCACACTCAAAGAATGTTCCTTGTTTCCAGAACTAGATCATTCCATAGTTGAGGCCCGTCTTTCACCTGAAACACATCATGGACGACAGATCTTTGAGGTGTCTCTGCTGAAAGACGGCAGTCATGGCATCGGCATCACCATCGTGGGCGGGGAGAGCACCAGCAAACTGGACCTGGGGATCTTTGTCAAGTCTGTGACGGCTGGAGGTCCAGCGAACAAGGCTGGCTGCATCAGGCCAGGTGACCGTCTCGTGGCTATCAACGGACAGAGTCTGGAGGGGGTACAGCATCACCAAGCTGTGCAGATGATTCGTGAGTCGGATGACCTTGTTAGCTTGCTTGTGTCACAGGTCAGGGCACCCACGACACTGCGACGAAAGGTTGTGTCTGTTGATGCTTTGACACCAGCATCGTCTGCTGTGCACTCTCTGCCCCAAAGTGGTGATGTTGGTCAGTCAGATTCACTTGTAGACCAAGCAGTTTCTCATTCCTCGTATGGAGATCTTAGAAACATTCCACCTGAAAAACCACCACGACAGATGAACAGGGATGTCAAGTTGACAAGCGACATGCAGCCTACAGTTGGGATAGCCTGGGACACTGCTGGGTTGTGTGATGAGTCTGTGTCAGGTGTAAGTGAAACAATTGCTGCTGACCTGGCAGAGAGCATTCTGGGTACTGACAGGGAGGAATCGGGTGTGTTGATGGTGGACAGCGATCAGTGGGCAGCCAGGGAGGAGGAGGAACTCAAGGTACTTGGAGGTGAGCAGCTTGTGGGGAAGGTGGGGATTTGAGGTACTGGGGGCTGAGCAGCTTAACCGGGAGGCAGGGCATCCAGGTACTAAGGGCTGAGCAGCTTGTGGTCAGAGGGGAAGGCGGGGATTTGAGGTACAAGGGGCTGAGCAGCTTAACAGGGAGGCAGGGCGTCAAGGTACTAGGGGCTGAGCAGCTTGTAGGGGATACAGGACTTAAAGGTACAAGAGGCTGAGCAGCTTGTGGGGGATGCAGAGCCTCGAGGTACTCTGGGGCTAAGCAGCTTCTTGGGAAGGCAGGGCCTAGAGGTACTAGGGGCTGAGCAGCTTGTAGGGGATGCACGGCCTCAAGGTACTAGGGCCTGCGCAACTTGTTGGAGATGCAGGGTCAGATGTGAGCAGCTTGTGGGGGATACAGGGATTTGAGGTACTAGGAGCTGAGCAGCTTGTAGGGGACACAGGACTTTGAGGTACTAGGAGCTGAGCAGCTTGTAGGGGAGGCAGGGCCTCGAAGTATTAGGGGTAAGCTGCTTGTTTGGGATGCAGAGCCTCGAGGTACTCTGGGGTGAGCAGCTTGTTGGGATGCAGGGCCTCGAGTTACTAGGAGCCAAACAGCTTTCCGGGGATACAGGTATTTGAGGTACTCAGGTGGTAAGCAGCTTGTTTGGGATGCAGGGCCTCGAGGTACTCAGGGGTGAGCAGCTTGTTGGGAATGCATGGCCTCGAGATATTCAGGGGTAAGCAGCTTGTTGGGGATGCAGGGCCTCGAGATACTCAGGGGTGAGCAGCTATTTGGGGATGCAGGGCCACGAGGTACTCAGGGGTGAGCAGTTTGTTGTTGCAGGGGGTCGAGGTATTAGGGGTAAGCAGCTTGTCGGGGATGCAGGGCCTCAAGGTATTAGGGGTAAGCAGCTTGTTGTGGATGCAGGGCCTCGAGGTATAAGGGGTAAGCAGCTTGTTTGGGATGCAGGGCCTCAAGGTATTAGGGGTGAGCAGCTTGTAGGGGAGGCAGGGCATCCAGGTACTAGGAGCTGAGCAGCTTGTAGGGGACACAGGACTTTGAGGTACTAGGAGCTGAGCAGCTTGTAGGGGACATAGGACTTTGAGGTACTAGGGGCTGAGCAGCTTGTAGGGGAGGCAGGGCCTCGAGGTATTAGGGGTAAGCTGCTTGTTTGGGATGCAGGGCCTCGAGTTACTAGGAGCTGAACAGCTTTCCGGGGATACAGGTATTTGAGGTACTCAGGTGGTAAGCAGCTTGTTGGTGATGCAGGGCCTCGAGATATTCAGGGGTAAGCAGTTTGTTGGAAATGCAGAGGGTCGAGGTATTAGGGGTAAGCAGCTTGTCGGGGATGCAGGGCCTCGAGGTATTAGGGGTAAGCAGCTTGTTGTGGATGCAGGGCCTCGAGGTACTCAGGGGTGAGCAGCTTGTTGGGGATGCAGGGCCTCGAGGTATTAGGGGTAAGTAGCTTGTTGGGGATGCAGGGCCTCTAGGTACTCAGGGGTGAGCATCTTGTTGGGGATGCAGGGCCTCGAGGTATTAGGGGTAAGTAGCTTGTTGGGGATGCAGGGCCTCTAGGTACTCAGGGGTGAGCATCTTGTTGGGGATGCAGGGCCTCGAGGTATTAGGGGTAAGTAGCTTGTTGGGGATGCAGGGCCTCGAGGTATTAGGGGTAAGCAGCTTGTCGGGGATGCAGGGCCTCGAGGTATTAGGGGTAAGCAGCTTGTTGTGGATGCAGGGCCTCGAGGTATTAGGGGTAAGTAGCTTGTTGTGGATGCAGGGCCTCGAGATACTCAGGGGTGAGTAGCTTGTTGGGGATGCAGGGCCTCGAGGTACTCAGGGGTGAGCAGCTTGTTGGGGATGCAGGGCCTTGAGGTACTAGGGGCTGAGCAGCTTGTTTGGAATGCAGGGTCTCAAGGTGCTAGGGGCTGTGCAACTTGTTGGGGAGGCAGAGCTAGAGGTTCTATGGGCTAAGCAGCTTTTAGGGGAGGCAGGGCCTTGAGGTACTAGGGGTTCAGCAGCTTGTTGGGGATACAGGCCTTTGAGGTATTAGGGGCTGAGCAGCTTGTTGGGGATGCAGGACTTTGAGGTACTAGAGGCTGAGCAGCTTGTGGGGGATGCATTGCCTCAAGGTTCTAGAGGCTGCACAACTTGTGGGGATGCAGGGCCTCGAGGTACTCAGAGGTAAGCAGCTTGTTGGGGATACAGGGATTTAGGGTACTCAGGGGTGAGCAGCTTGTTAGGATGCAGGGTGTCGAGGTATTCGGGGTGAGCAGCTTGTTGGGAATGCAGAGGGTCGAGGTATTAGGGGTAAGCAGCTTGTTGGGGATGCAGGGCCTCTAGGTACTCAGGGGTAATCAGCTTGGTCGGGATGCAGATCCTCGAGGTATTAGGGGTAAGTAGCTTGTTGGGGATGCAGGACCTCGAGATACTCAGGGGTGAGCAGCTTGTTGTGAATGCAGGGCCTCTAGGTACTCAGGGGTGAGCAGCTTGTTGGGGGTGGAGGGCCCCGAAGTACTAGGGGCTGAACAGCTTTTAGGGGATACAGGGATTTGAGGTACTCAGGGGTGAGCAGGTGGTTGGGGATGCAGGGCCTCGAGGTACTCAGGGGTGAACAGTTTGTTGGGGATGCAGGGCCTCAAGGTACTCAGGGGTGAGCAGCTTGTTGGGAATGCAGGGCCTCAAACTACTCAGGGCTGAACAGCTTTTGGGGGATACAGGGATTTGAGGTACTCAAGGGTGAGCAGCTTGTTGGGGATGCAGGGCCTTGAGGTACTAGGGTCTGAGCAGCTTGTTGTGAATGCAGGGTCTCAAGGTACTAGGGGCTGTGCAGCATGTTGGGGATGCAGGGCCTCGAGGTACTAGGGGTAAGCAGCTTGTTGGGGATGCAGGGCCTCGAGATACTCAGGGGTGGGAGCTTGTTGGGGATGCAGGGCCTCGAGGTACTCAGGGGTGAGCAGTTTGTTCGAGATGCAGGGCCTCGAGATACTCAGGGGTAAGCAGCTTGTTGGGGATGCAGAGCCTCAAGGTACTCAGGGGTGAGCAGCTTGTTGGGGATACAGGGATTTAGGGTACTCAGGGGTGAGCAGCTTGTTGGGATGCAGGGCGCCGAGGTATTAGGGGTAAGCAGCTTGTTGGGGATGCAGGGCGTCGAGGTATTAGGGGTAAGCAGCTTGTTGGGGATGCAGGGCCTCGAGGTACTCAGGGGTGAGCAGTTTGTTCGAGATGCAGGGCCTCGAGATACTCAGGGGTAAGCAGCTTGTTGGGGATGCAGAGCCTCAAGGTACTCAGGGGTGAGCAGCTTGTTGTGGGTGGAGGGCCCCGAAGTACTAGGGGCTGAACAGCTTTAGGGGGATACAGAGATTTGAGGTACTCAGGGGTGAGCAGCTTGTTGGGGATGCAGGGCCTTGAGGTACTAGGGGCTGAGCAGCTTGTTGTGAATTCAGGGTCTGAAGGTACTAGGGGCTGTGCGACTTGTAGGGGAGGCAGAGTCTAGAGGTTCTATGGGCTGAGGAGCTTGTAGGGGAGGCAGGGCCTTGAGGTACTAGGGGTTCAGCAGCTTGTTTGGGATGGAGGCCTTTGAGGTAATAGGGGCTGAGCAGCTTGTTGGAGATGCAGGACTTTAAGGTACTAGAGGCTGAGCAGCTTGTGGGGGATGCATTGCCTCAAGGTTCTAGGGGCTGTACAACTTGTGGGGATGCAGGGCCTGGAGGTACTCAGGGGTGAGCAGCTTGTTGGGGGATATAGGGATTTGAGGTACTCAGGGGATGAGCAGCTTGTTTGGGATGCAGGGCCTCGAGATATTCAGGGGTAAGCAGCTTGTTGGGGATTCAGGGCCTCAAGCTATTAGGGGTAAGCAGCTTGTTGGGGATGTAGGGCCTCGACATACTCAGGGGTGAGCAGCTTGTTTGGGATGCAGGGCCTTGAGGTACTCAGGGGTGAGCAGCTTGTTGGGGATGCAGGGCCTCGAGGTACTAGGGGTAAGCAGCTTGTTGGGGATGCAGGGCCTCAAGGTACTCAGGGCTGAAAAGCTTGTGAATGCAGGGCCTCGAGCTATTAGGGGTAAGCAGCTTTTTGGGGATGCAGGGCCTTGAGTTACTAGGAGCTGAACAGCTTTCGGGGGATACAGGGATTTGAGGTACTCAGGGGGTAAGCAGCTTGTTTGGGATGCAGGGCCTCGAGGTACTCAGGGGTGAACAGCTTGTTGGGAATGCAGGGCCTCAAGATATTCAGGGATAAGCAGCTTGTTGGGATGCAGGGCCTTGAGTTACTTGGAGCTAAACTTTCGGGGGACACAGGGATTTAAGGTACTCAGGGGGTAAGCAGCTTGTTGGGGATGCAGGGCCTCGAGGTACTCAGGGTTGAACAGCTTGTTGGGGGTGCAGGGCCTCGAGATACTCAGGTGTGAGCAGCTTGTTGGGAATGCAGGGCCTCGAGGTACTCAGGGGTGAGCAGCTTGTTGGGGATGCAGGGCCTTGAGGTACTCAGGGGCCAAGCAGCTTGTTGTGAATGCAGGGTCTGAAGGTACTAGTGGCTGTGCAACTTGTAGGGGAGGCAGAGTCTAGAGGTTCTATGGGCTGAGGAGCTTGTAGGGGAGGCAGGGCTTTGAGGTACTAGGGCTTCAGCAGCTTGTTTGGGATGGAGGCCTTTGAGGTATTAGGGGCTGAGCAGCTTTTTGGAGATGCAGGACTTTAAGGTACTAGAGGCTGAGCAGCTTGTTGGGAATGCAGGGCCTCGAGATATTCAGGGGTAAGCAGCTTGTTGGGGATGCAGGGCCTTGAGTTACTTGGAGCTAAACTTTCGGGGGACACAGGGATTTAAGGTACTCAGGGGGTGAGCAGCTTGTTGGGGATGCAGGGCCTCGAGGTACTCAGGGTTGAGCAGCTTGTTGGGGATGCAGGGCCTCCAGATACTCAGGTGTGAGCAGCTTGTTGGGAATGCAGGGCCTCGAGGTACTCAGGGGTGAGCAGCTTGCTCTGGATACAGGGATTTGAGGTACTCAGGGGTATGCAGCTTGTTGGGGATGCAGGGCCTCGAGGTACTCAGGGGTGAGCAGCTTGTTGGGAATGCAGGGCCTCGAGGTACTCAGGGGTGAGCAGCTTGCTTGGGATACAGGGATTTGAGGTCCTCAGGGCTATGCAGCTTGTTGGGGATGCAGGGCCTTGAGGTACTCAGGGGTGAGCAGCTTGTTGGGATGCAGGGCCTTGATGTAGTTGGGGGAAGCAGCTTGTGGGGAAGGCAGGCTTTTTTAATGACTGTTGAAGACCTTGTTGTAGAAGGGCTTTTTGACACCTCTTCTAACCATGTTAAATTAGGGCTTTGTGATGCTGATGTGATGACTGTGGTAAGCATTTTTAGGGTATATGAGTCATTACATCCTCACACTATGACTGTTTGCTCAATGATTTGAGGACAGTCTTATTAGGATTGCCATATGTTAAATTGTAGGAGATATGAAGGTCTTTGTTTTGTCTAAATAGTCCCAGTGTACAATGGCTGTTGTTGGCCATTGTGAATGTCTTCAAGCTGAGGTTATCCTTGTCCCTTTTACATGTACCCATCTATATTCTGAGAATATAAACAATGAAATTATTCAACATATTGCTTGCAGACATTGCAGGCCTCACAATAATTGATGATTCTTCGTCTGACTCGGACTTCGACACAGCCTTGGAGAATGCTGTGAAGGGCCGCCTGACTCGGAAACCTTCCCAGAACACCTCTGTCATCAAAGTCAGCCTGCACAAACAGGGCAGTCAGTCAGGGATAACCATCACGGTGAGTACACCATCACACTGTCACAGCGAGTACACATCACGCCATCCCTGTTACCACCATCACACTGTCACAGCGAGTACACATCACACCATCCCTGTGAAAACACCATCACACTGTCACAGCAAGTACACATCACTCCATCCCTGTGAATACACCATCACACTGTTACAGCGAGTACACATCACACCATCCCCGTGAATACACCATCACAATGTCACAGCGAGTACACATCACACCATCCCCATTATACACCATCACACTGTTACAGCGAGTACACATCACACCATCCCCGTGAAAACACCATCACACTGTTACAGCGAGTACACATCACACAATCCCTGTGAATACACCATCACAATATCGATCACAGCGAGTACACATCACACCATCCCCGTGAAAACACCATCACACTGTCACAGCGAGTACACATCACACCATCCCCGTGAATACACCATCACACTGTTACAGCGAGTACACATCACACCATCCCCGTGAATACACCATCACACTGTTACAGCGAGTACACATCACACCATCCCCATGAATACACCATCACACTGTTACAGCGAGTACACATCACACCATCCCCGTGAATACCCCATCACACTGTTACAGCGAGTGCACATCACACCATCCCCGTGAATACACCATCACAATGTCACAGCGAGTACACATCACACCATCCCCATGAATACACCATCACAATGTCACACCTAGTACACATCACACCATCCCCGTGAAAACACCATCACAATGTCACAGCGAGTACACATCACACCATCCCAATGAAAACACCATCACACTGTTACAGCGAGTACACATCACACCATCCCCGTGAAAACACCATCACACTGTTACAGCGAGTACACATCACACCATCCCTGTGAAAACACCATCACACTGTCACAGCGAGTACACATCACACCATCCCCGTGAAAACACCATCACACTGTTACAGCGACTACACATCACACCATCCCCGTGAATACACCATCACACTGTCACAGCGAGTACACATCACACCATCCCCGTGAAAACACCATCACAATGTCACAGCGAGTACACATCACACCATCCCCATGAAAACACCATCCCACTGTTACAGCGAGTACACATCACACCATCCCCGTGAAAACACCATCACAATGTCACAGCGAGTACACATCACACCATCCCCGTGAAAACACCATCACAATGTCACAGCGAGTACACATCACACCATCCCCGTGAATACACCATCACACTGTCACAGCGAGTACACATCACACCATCCCCGTGAATACACCATCACACTGTTACAGCGAGTACACATCACACCATCCCCGTGAAAACACCATCACACTGTCACAGCGAGTACACATCACACCATCCCCGTGAAAACACCATCACAATGTCACAGCGAGTACACATCACACCATCCCCGTGAAAACACCATCACAATGTCACAGCGAGTACACATCACACCATCCCCGTGAAAACACCATCCCACTGTTACAGCGAGTACACATCACACCATCCCCGTGAAAACACCATCACAATGTCACAGCGAGTACACATCACACCATCCCCGTGAAAACACCATCACACTGTTACAGCGAGTACACATCACACCATCCCCGTGAAAACACCATCACAATGTCACAGCGAGTACACATCACACCATCCCCGTGAAAACACCATCACAATGTCACAGCGAGTACACATCACACCATCCCCGTGAAAACACCATCACAATGTCACAGCGAGTACACATCACACCATCCCCGTGAAAACACCATCCCACTGTTACAGCGAGTACACATCACACCATCCCCGTGGAAACACCATCACAATGTCACAGCGAGTACACATCACACCATCTCCGTCAAAACACCATCACAATGTTACAGCGAGTACACATCACACCATCCTGTGAAAACACCATCACAATGTCACAGCGAGTACACATCACACCATCCCCGTGAAAACACCATCACAATGTCACAGCGAGTACGAATCACACCATCCCCGTGAATACACCATCACACTGTTACAGCGAGTACACATCACACCATCCCGTGAAAACACCATCACACTGTCACAGCGAGTACACATCACACCATCCCTGTGAATACGCCATCACACTGTCACAGCGAGTACACATCACACCATCCCCATGAAAACACCATCACTATGTCACAGCGAGTACACATCACACCATCCCCATGAAAACACCATCACACTGTTACAGCGACTACACATCACACCATCCCCGTGAAAACACCATCACAATGTCACAGCGAGTACACATCACACCATCCCCGTGAAAACACCATCCCACTGTTACAGCGACTACACATCACACCATCCCCGTGAAAACACCATCACAATGTCATAGCGAGTACACATCACACCATCCCCGTGAAAACACCATCACAATGTTACAGCGAGTACACATCACACCATCCCCGTGAAAACACCATCACAATGTCACAGCGAGTACACATCACACCATCCCCGTGAAAACACCATCCCACTGTTACAGCGACTACACATCACACCATCCCCGTGAAAACACCATCACAATGTCATAGCGAGTACACATCACACCATCCCCGTGAAAACACCATCACAATGTTACAGCGAGTACACATCACACCATCCCCGTGAAAACAGCATCACAATGTCACAGCGAGTATGAATCACACCATCCCCGTGAATACACCATCACACTGTTACAGCGAGTACACATCACACCATCCCCGTGAAAACACCATCACAATCTCACAGCGAGTACACACATCACACCATCCCTGTGAAAACACCATCACACTGTCACAGCGAGTACACATCACACCATCCCCGTGAATACACCATCACACTGTTACAGCGAGTACACATCACACCATCCCCATGAAAACACCATCACAATGTCACAGCGAGTACGAATCACACCATCCCCGTGAATACACCATCACACTGTTACAGCGAGTACACATCACACCATCCCCGTGAAAACACCATCACAATGTCACAGCGAGTACACACATCACACCATCCCTGTGAATACACCATCACAATGTCACAGCGAGTACACATCACACAATCCCTGTGAATACACCATCACAATGTCACAACGAGTACACATCACACCATCCCCGTGAATACACCATCACAATGTTACAGCGAGTACACATCACACCATCCCCGTGAAAACACCATCACAATGTCACAGCAAGTACACATCACACCATCCCTGTGAAAACACCATCACAATGTCACAGCAAGTACACATCACACCATCCCCGTGAATACACCATCACACTGTCACAGCGAGTACGCATCACACCATCCCCGTGAAAACACCATCACAATGTCACAGCGAGTACGAATCACACCATCCCCGTGAATACACCATCACACTGTTACAGCGCGTACACATCACACCATCCCCGTGAAAACACCATCACACTGTCACAGCGAGTACGAATCACACCATCCCCGTGAATACACCATCACAATGTCACAGCGAGTACACACATCACCATCCCTGTTAATACACCATCACAATGTCACAGCGAGTACACATCACACCATCCCCGTGAAAACACCATCACAATGTCACAGCGAGTACACATCACACCATCCCCGTGAAAACACCATCACAATGTCACAGCGAGTACACATCACACCATCCCCGTGAAAACACCATCCCACTGTTACAGCGAGTACACATCACACCATCCCCGTGGAAACACCATCACAATGTCACAGCGAGTACACATCACACCATCTCCGTCAAAACACCATCACAATGTTACAGCGAGTACACATCACACCATCCCGTGAAAACACCATCACAATGTCACAGCGAGTACACATCACACCATCCCCGTGAAAACACCATCACAATGTCACAGCGAGTACGAATCACACCATCCCCGTGAATACACCATCACAATGTCACAGCAAGTACACATCACACCATCCCCGTGAAAACACTATCACAATGTCACAGCAAGTACACATCACACCATCCCCGTGAATACACCATCACACTGTCACAGCGAGTACACATCACACCATCCCCGTGAAAACACCATCACAATGTCACAGCGAGTACGAATCACACCATCCCCGTGAATACACCATCACACTGTTACAGCGCGTACACATCACACCATCCCCGTGAAAACACCATCACACTGTCACAGCGAGTACGAATCACACCATCCCCGTGAATACACCATCACAATGTCACAGCGAGTACACACATCACCATCCCTGTTAATACACCATCACACTGTCACAGCGAGTACACATCACACCATCCCCGTGAAAACACCATCACAATGTCACAGCGAGTACACATCACACCATCCCCGTGAAAACACCATCACAATGTCACAGCGAGTACACATCACACCATCCCCGTGAAAACACCATCCCACTGTTACAGCGAGTACACATCACACCATCCCCGTGGAAACACCATCACAATGTCACAGCGAGTACACATCACACCATCTCCGTCAAAACACCATCACAATGTTACAGCGAGTACACATCACACCATCCCGTGAAAACACCATCACAATGTCACAGCGAGTACACATCACACCATCCCCGTGAAAACACCATCACAATGTCACAGCGAGTACACATCACACCATCCCCGTGAATACACCATCACACTGTTACAGCGAGTACACATCACACCATCCCGTGAAAACACCATCACACTGTCACAGCGAGTAAACATCACACCATCCCTGTGAATACACCATCACACTGTCACAGCGAGTACACATCACACCATCCCCATGAAAACACCATCACTATGTCACAGCGAGTACACATCACACCATCCCCATGAAAACACCATCACACTGTTACAGCGACTACACATCACACCATCCCCGTGAAAACACCATCACAATGTCACAGCGAGTACACATCACACCATCCCCGTGAAAACACCATCCCACTGTTACAGCGACTACACATCACACCATCCCCGTGAAAACACCATCACAATGTCATAGCGAGTACACATCACACCATCCCCGTGAAAACACCATCACAATCTCACAGCGAGTACACACATCACACCATCCCTGTGAAAACACCATCACACTGTCACAGCGAGTACACATCACACCATCCCCGTGAATACACCATCACACTGTTACAGCGAGTACACATCACACCATCCCCATGAAAACACCATCACTCTGTCACAGCGAGTACGAATCACACCATCCCCGTGAATACACCATCACACTGTTACAGCGAGTACACATCACACCATCCCCGTGAAAACACCATCACAATGTCACAGCGAGTACACACATCACACCATCCCTGTGAATACACCATCACAATGTCACAGCGAGTACACATCACACCATCCCTGTGAATACACCATCACAATGTCACAGCGAGTACACATCACACCATCCCCGTGAATACACCATCACAATGTTACAGCGAGTACACATCACACCATCCCCGTGAATACACCATCACACTGTTACAGCGAGTACACATCACACCATCCCCGTGAAAAAACCATCACAATGTCACAGCGAGTACGAATCACACCATCCCCGTGAATACACCATCACACTGTTACAGCGAGTACACATCACACCATCCCCGTGAAAACACCATCACAATGTCACAGCGAGTACACACATCACCATCCCTGTTAATACACCATCACAATGTCACAGCGAGTACACATCACACCATCCCCGTGAATACACCATCACTGTCACAGCGAGTACACATCACACCATCCCCGTGAAAACACCATCACACTGTTACAGCTAGTACACATCACACCATCCCCGTGAAAACACCATCCCACTGTTACAGCGAGTACACATCACACCATCCCCGTGAAAACACCATCACACTGTTACAGCGACTACACATCACACCATCCCCGTGAATACACCATCCCACTGTTACAGCGAGTACACATCACACCATCCCCGTGAATACACCATCACACTGTCACAGCGAGTACACTGTTGTAGGGTGACACTCATTGAATGAATGTCTGCTGTTGCAGGGTGGCAGTGACTCCAAGTTTGAAGATGGTGCTGTGTATGTCATCTCAGTCAATTCTTCTCTATCAGAGAAACACAACTCTATGATAGTAGGTGAGTAGAAGACGCCTCTATACATTAATATTGTGCAACAGCTGTTAGAGATATAGATTGACATTGTACTACAGCTGTTAGAGATATGACTTGATGCTGTACTACAGCTGTTAGAGAAATGACTTGATGCTGTACTACAGCTGTTAGAGATATGGCTTGATGCTGTACTACAGCTGTTAGAGAAATGACTTGATGCTGTACTACAGCTGTTAGAGATATGGCTTGATGCTGTACTACAGCTGTTAGAGATATGGCTTGATGCTGTACTACAGCTGTTAGAGAAATGACTTGATGCTGTACTACAGCTGTTAGAGATATGGCTTGATGCTGTGCTACAGCTGTTAGAGATATGGCTTGATGCTGTGCTACAGCTGTTAGAGATATGGCTTGGCACTGTACTACAGCTGTATGAGATAAGGATTGAAGCTTACTACAGTTTTTCAAGATATGGCATGGCAGCTGTTAGAAATATGGCATGGCACTGTACTACAGCTGTTAGAGATATGGCTTGACACTGTGCTACAGCTGTAAGAGATATGGCAAGAAACTTTACTACAGCTGTTAGATATATGGCATGGCACTGTACTACAGCTGTTAGATATATGGCATGGCACTGTACTACAGCTGTAAGAGATATGGCTTGACACTGTACTACAGCTGTTAGAGATATGGCTTGACACTGTGGTACAGCTGTAAGAGATATCGCAAGAAACTTTACTACAGCTGTTAGATATATGGCATGGCACTGTACTACAGCTGTTAGAGATATGGCTTGGCACTGTACTACAGCTGTATGAGATAAGGATTGAAGCTTACTACAGTTTTTCAAGATATGGCATGGCAGCTGTAAGAAATATGGCATGGCACTGTACTACAGCTGTTAGAGATATGGCTTGACACTGTGCTACAGCTGTAAGAGATATGGCAAGAAACTTTACTACAGCTGTTAGATATATGGCATGGCACTGTACTACAGCTGTTAGAGATATGGCTTGACACTGTACTACAGCTGTTAGAGATATGGCTTGACACTGTGCTACAGCTGTAAGAGATATGGCAAGAAACTTTACTACAGCTGTTAGATATATGGCATGGCACTGTACTACAGCTGATAGAGATATGGCTTGACACTGTGCTACAGCTGTTTGAGATATGGCATGGCAGCTGTTAGAAATATGGCATGGCACTGTACTACAGCTGTTAGAGATATGGCTTGATACTGTGCTACAGCTGTAAAAGATATGGCAAGACACTGTACTACAGCTGTTAGATATATGGCATGGCACTGTACTACAGCTGTTAGATATATGGCTTGAAGCTTCCTACAGCTGTTAAAGATATGGCTTGAAGATGTAGTACAGCTGTTCAAGATAAGGCATGGCAGCTGTAAGAAATTTGGCATGGCACTGTACTACAGCTGATAGAGTGATGGCTTGATGCTCTACTACAGCTGATAGAGTGATAGCTAGACACTTTACTACAGCTGATAGAGTGATGGCTTGACACTGTACTACAGCTGATAGTGTGATGGCTTGACACTGTGCTACAGTTGTTAGAGTGGTGGCTTGACACTGCACTACAGCTGATAGAGTGATGGCTTGACACTGTACTGCAGGTTATAGAGTGATGGCTTGACACTTTACTACAGTTGTTAGAGTGATGGCTTGACACGGTACACCAGCTGATAGAGTTATGGCTTGACACTGTACTACAGCTGATAGAGTGATGGCTTGACACTGTTCTACAGCTGATAGAGTGATAGGTAGACACTTTACTTCAGCTGATAGAGTGATGGCTTGACACTGTACTTCAGCTGATAGAGTGATGGCTTGACACTGTTCTGCAGCTGATAGAGTGATGGCTTGACACAGTACTACAGCTGATAGAGTGATGGCTTGACACTGTACTACAGGTTATAGAGTGATGGCTTGACACTTTACTACAGTTGTTAGAGTGATGGCTTGACACTGTACACCAGCTGATAGAGTTATGGCTTGACACTGTACTACAGCTGATAGAGTGATGGCTTGACACTGTACTACAGCTGATAGAGTGATGCTTGACATTGTTCTTCAGTTGTAAGAGTGATGGCTTGACACTGTACTAACGCTGATAGTGTGATGGCTTGACACTGTACTACAGCTGATAGAGTGATGCTTGACATTGTTCCTCAGTTGTTAGAGTGATGGCTTGACACTGTACTACAGTTGTGTTACTGAGTGTCTTCTTTATGTGTGCAGGAGACCAGCTGTTGGAGATCAATGACTTCGGTGTCCACGGTCGGACGTACGGGCAGGTAGTGGACCTGCTACATCGGGCACCATCTGTCTGTCCACTGCTGGTCCGGCGATTAGCTCCATCACCCACTGAGCCAGGGAGTCAGCCAAGCATCACACCAGCTCTGGCCAGCCTTCTGGACGACATCTCACCAGATCCATATTCATTTGTTGCCGAGGGTAGGTGTTTGTGGTGTCCTGTACCAAGTTGACCACTACATGTATGTAGCGGAGGGTGAGATGTGTTGTATCCTAAGGGTGAGATGTGTTCTATCCTAAGGGTGAGATGTGTTGTATCCTAAGGGTAAGATGTGTTCTGCCCTAAGGGTGAGATGTGTTGCATTCTGAGGGTGAGATGTGTTGTATACTAAGGGTGAGATGTGTTCTGCCCTAAGGGTGAGATGCATTGTGTCCTAAGGGTGAGATGTGTTGCATCCTAAGGGTGAGATGTGTTGCATCCTGAGGGTTAGATGTATTGTATCCTAAGGGTGAGATGTGTTCTGCCCTAAGGGTGAGATGCATTGTGTCCTAAGGGTGAGATGTGTTGCATCCTTAGGGTGAGAAGTGTTGTATCCTAAAGGTGAGATGTGTTGTATCCTAAGGGTGAGATGTGTTCTGCCCTAAGGGTGAGATGCATTATGTCCTAGGGGTGAATTGTGTTGTATCCTAAGAGTGAGATGTGTTCTGCCCTAAGGGTGAGATGTGTTGTGTCCTAAGGGTGAGATGTGTTGTGTCCTAAGGGTGAGATGTGTTGCATCCTGAGGGTGAGATGTGTTGTATCCTAAGGGTGAGATGTGTTCTGCCCTAAGGGTGAGATGCGTTATGTCCTAAGGGTGAGTTGTGTTCTGCCCTAAGGGTGAGATGTGTTCTGCCCTAAGGGTAAGATGCATTGTGTCCTAAGGGTGAGATGCATTGTGTCCTAAGGGTGAGTTGTGTTGTATCCTGAGGGTGAGATGTGTTCTGCCCTAAGGGTGACATGTGTTCTGCCCTAAAGGTGAGATGTGTTGTGTCCTAAGGGTGAGAAGTGTTTTCTCCTAAGAGTGAGATGTGTTCTGCACCTAAGGGTGAGATGCGTTGTGTTCTAAGGGTGAGATGTGTTCTGCCCTAAGGGTGAGATGTGTTCTGCCCTAAGGGTGAGATGCAGTGTGTTCTAAGAGTGAGATGTGTTCTGCCCTTAGGGTGAGATGTGTTCTGCCCTAAGGGTGAGATGTGTTCTGCCCTAAGGATGAGATGTGTTCTGCCCTAAGGGTGAGATGCGGTGTGTTCTAAGGGTGAGATGTGTTCTGCCCTAAGGGTGAGATGTGGTGTGTTCTAAGGGTGAGATGTGTTCTGCCCTAAGGGTGAGATGCGGTGTGTTCTAAGGGTGAGATATGTTCTGCCCAAGGGTAAGATGTGTTGTGTCCTAAGGGTGAGAAGTGTTTTCTCCTAAGAGTTAGATGTGTTCTGCCCTAAAGGTGAGATGCGTTGTGTCCTAAGGGTGAGATGTGTTGTATCCACAGGGTGAGATGTGTTCTGCCCTAAGGGTGAGATGCGTTATGTCCTAAGGGTGAGTTGTGTTCTGCCTTAAGGGTGAGATGTGTTTTGTGCTTAGGGTAAGATGTGTTCTGCCCTAAGGGTGAGATGTGTTGTGTCCTAAGGGTGAGAAGTGTTTTCTCCTAAGAGTGAGATGTGTTCTGCACCTAAGGGTGAGATGCGTTGTGTTCTAAGGGTGAGATGTGTTCTGCCCTAAGGGTGAGATGTGTTCTGCCCTAAGGGTGAGATGTGTTCTGCCCTAAGGGTGAGATGTGTTGTGTCCTAAGGGCTGAGATGTGTTGTATCCTAAGAGTGAGATGTGTTCTGCTCTACAGGGGAGATCTATGAGGTGGAGCTGGTGAAGGGTGTGAGTGGGCTAGGCTTCAGCTTCCAGGGCGGGGAGGACCTGCACCCCAACAACCCCACCCTCTGTGTGCCTCGCATCAAGAAGATTTTCATCATCGGTCCTGCAGCAGAGAGCGGACTCATCCATCCCGGGGATGTCATCCTTGAAGTCAATGGCAAACCAATGAGACATTTAACAAGAACGGTGAGACACATGCCAGTTATTCTTCAGTATCTTTCCGTATTGTATTCCATTAGGACCATGTTGATTGACTCTTTCACTCATTGCCTCAGTTATTAATGTAACTGATTCAGATGATTTTTCTCAACAGGGTATTATGCAAGCAATGAGATCAAGTAGATCCGTCAGACTGACGATGTGTCATCCGAGACCTGGAGATTTACCGACCATGCAATGCACAGTAAGTGGGATATGTCCACTAGCAACATGACACTTGGAATGTGGAGGACGAATACCTAAAACCTAAATGACGCAATGGATAGTAGATAACAAATGTAGCATGAGGAATTGACTTAGAAAGGAAAATCTGATTGTTTTGGGGAAGGTAAATGGGAGGATGCCACCATTCCAATATCCTCACCTTCAACTCCGACTAATCTTCATTTCTCACCCTCAGATCCATCCTCCCCCACCTCAACACAACCCATCCCATCATCCATCCCACCAACCCCACCAACCACACCATCCCCCACCATCCCCTCATCCTCCCCCAAACAGACCCATACCCCTGATACTTTAAGTAAAGCTAGTAGAATTGAGATGTTTGTGCTTGATATTGCAGGACAGTGAGGACTCCCTTGTCTCTCAGCTGAGGATGCCAGTCTACTTCGACAAGGATGGCCACTCCCTCTTTGAGTCCGAGTCAGACTCTGATGACGAGGGGAACACGCCAAGACCTCGATATGCAAGACAATCAGAGGCATCGGACAGCGGCTCAGTGTCAACAGTCGATCAAAACATGGAACAAAATGATCATATAGTGGAACAAATAGATGACAATATGGTACAGGTAGATAAAAAGGTGGGTGGCATTTGCCATCCTGCATCTGGTTCAGCACAGCTGAGTGGTGTGACAGAACACAGGGAGGATATTCATAGTCAGAAGTTGCTGACTCGACAAAAACATGTAGCATCTGACACAGAGACAGGTGAAGGAGATCAGGATGTGAAACAGGCCTCCCAAAATAAACATGTCAGTGAAATTGAAGATGTGGATAATGGCTTGGTGTCTGAACAGGAGCAGATAACCCCTACACAAGAACAGATAACTCCTACACAAGAACAGATAACTCCTACACAAGAACAGATAGGTCCTGCACAGGTGAGTGATGTATTACAGGTGCTGGTGGAAGCTGTCAAACAGTGTATGTTGGAATTCTATTCTTGAAAAGACATGAAGAGTAAAAGTAAAGGTATTGTAAATAATAAGAGAAGATTTACTTGAAAACAAAGCAACACTGTAAACACAAATAAACAAAATAAACAAATTCAACAGTTCAGTAATGTTCACATCATCAATGTAGCAAATGTAGAAATGTATTCAACAATGTAGCAATGCTTACAACACTTCAATAATGTTCACAATAACAATGTAGTAACGTAGCCAGGTCTGTAGTAATGTATACAACTATACTCAACGACAAAAGTTCCTGTGACACCAATATTTTAGTGTATTTTTCAAACAAGTAAAGTTTGGTTTTCATTATTATCCCCCGCCACGAAGTGGAATGGGGATATAGGAATGGGTGCCGTCCGTCCGTCCTTCCGTCCCTCCTTCCATCCTTCCGTCCGTCTGTCACATTTCGTTTCCGGAGCGGACCTTGAAAACCGTACTATATTTCTTCATAAAACTCGGCACATAGATAGGTCTAGTGGTGAACTGGTGCCTTTTGATAGTTTGGGATTTTTAAACAAATTACTTTTCATGTTTCAATGGCAACGACTTTGATTTAGACTCAAAATGGCTGTAGTCCTCGTTTCCGGAGCAGATCTTGAAAACCGTACCATTTTTCTTCACCACATTTGGCACATAAATAGGTCTAGTGGTGAACTGGTGCCTTTTGATAGTTTGGGATTTTTAAAAAAAGTTATTTTTCGAGTTTCCATGGCAATGATTTTGACTTTGACTGAAAATGGCGGTAGTCCTCGTTTCCGGAGCAGATCTTGAAAACCGTACCATATTTCTTCACCAAACTTGGCACATAATGTCATCTCACAGTATTGAATACATTTCCTTTCTTGTTGGTTAGTTCTACATTGCTTGAGTGTATGTTCCTCCAAAACTGTCATGGACACAATTGTTGCATTCACTGACAAACTTCATGCAGAAACACAACTCATTACAAATACAACAGTGTAACTGATCTTAAACCTACTCAACTGTATAAACACTATATATTCTTGTCAACCATACTCTGTACTTCACTTGCTTGATAACGGTGTTAGAACTTACACCGAAACCATTGCTCCTAATTGTAATAAAGAAGTTGTTTGTCCATATGTCTCATCCTTACTCATTACAAATACAGTTACATATTCTATCCTAAACTGCAGATGGCAAAACAACACCAGTAATAACTTTTTTTAGTGCTGCAATTAGGTCATTTGCAAAAAGGCCCAGTGAACATAGTTCACATGAGCTAATGCATTGCACACAACCAGACATGTCTTATTTGCGGGGGATATGAGTATTTCATGCTTGTTGTACTACATGTATGGAATCAAGTCACAAAACTGCAACTGCTACAGAAAAGCATGCATTCCATGCAAAAGTTGACTTTTATGCAAGCCACATGCATTTCACTACCCAAGAATTGGTATAAAAACATGTGCGTTAACAGGATTCCATATGCATTGTTTAGCATCGTGTTGACAACAACCACTCAGAAAAACAACAAAATTACGCAATTATTCAACATCACGAAATGCCACGCCTGTCCGAAAATGAGCGTCTGTGAGCCATTGGTATGCTTGAAGCAGGATTGAGTTGTCAACGTGCAATGTTGCAAGACAATTTAACATCCACAGAAACTCCATTTGGTGTTTATGGCAACGTTGGCAACAGACGAATGCAGAGACCATCCTCGGTGTGGCAGGCCACGCGTAATCAATAATCGACCAGACATCTGGATTCGAACAACACACCTACGAAATCAATTCCTAGCCAGCAACAGTGACTGCAAGAAGCATTCCTGGCATTCGACGACTATCTTCACAAACCGTACGTCGCCCCCTCAGATGTGCAGGGATTGTCGCCAGAAGACCCGCCAGACGTCCCTTTTTGACAAGAAACCACGGTCAAGAACGTCTACAGTGGTGCAGACAGCGTCTACGCTGGACGGCCATTCAGTGGGGACAAGTTCTATTCACTGACGAGTCTCGTTTTCACCTCAGCCACAACGATGGACGGATTCGAGTGTACCTACGTCGAGGTGAACGTTACGTCAATCATTGTGTCATGGAAGAAGATCAGTTCGGGGGCGACAGCGTTATGGTATGGGGTGGAATTACAGCAAGACAGAGGACCCGTTTGATAGTGGTAGAGGGAAATCTCAATGGACAGTGCTACAGCGACGAGATCATAGGCCCTATTGTTCTACCGTTTTTGCCTTTCTACCTTTCAACGCGACAACGCCAGGCCTCATATTGCTCGACTTGTTCAGGATTCTTTTCAACAAAACAACGTGAATGTCATCCCCTGCCTGGCTAACTCCCCTGATCTCTCACCAATCGAGCATATGTGGGATGAGATGGATCGGTGCCTTCGACGTCAACCACATGTTCCACAGACACTCCAGGAACATGCTCCAGCAGATATGGACAGATATCCCACAGGACTTTGTGCGACGCCTGGTCCATTCCATGAGACGAAGATGTGTTGTTTGCATTGCAACCAGAGGTAGACACACACGCTATTGATTTGTAAATTGACATTTTGGCATGTTCATGTTTTTTATGAAATCACGCATTTTCTGAAATCAGTATGGCAAATTAAACCATTTGAACACTTAGAGGAGTCTTTTATCTGTTGCAAACCAAAATTGTTTAAGATTTTATAAAAAACATAACTTTGCATTAACTGTTATTCAGTGTCACAGGAACTTTTGTTGTTCAGTATGTATGCAACATCATTGTACCTCCATGTAAGAATGATGAGATATGATTTGCCCACATGATCTTGATACGATACTCTGTATCCCGCCTTGAAGGAAAATAATTTCAGCAGGCCTCAGATTTGCGACTAAAATGGTCGCCAATGCGACCTAAATTTCAGTTTGTCTACTACCTAAAATTCAGTGGTAGCCAAATGACTACCTAGAAAAATATCTTGTGGCGACTATCTTCTTTAGTGTAGGGAATGGTGATTCTGGCTCACTTCTACTGGAGCCAGATTTATACCCCAATACCTATACTACAGAGGTCATTTTTTGTGCAAAAACCATGATGCACACAAATAATTGTTATGAGACTAAGCTAAATTGTAATGAAAAGGGCTCTGGCTCACCACCACCTGAGCCATTCCCAAACCCTATAAATGCTTCTATGCTGTAAATGATATAAAGTTTTATATGTAATGGTGATTCGGGCTCACTGCCACTAGAGCCAGTTTTATACCCCAATACCTCTACTACGGAGATAAATTTTTTTGCAAAAACGACAATGCAAACAAATTATCTTCATGACTCTAAACTAAATTGTAATGAAAATATTCTCTATTATTTTTTACTCATATGCATACCATTATTTTGAAGAAAGTGATATTCAACATTTTTACTTAGTTCTTTGTTAATTTTACTAGGAGACCAAACTGTATACTCTTCTTCGAAATTAGAAAGAAACAATTGATGACTGTATTTAGTTGGTTTGACATCACCGATATAATATGTACCTTGAGGTTAATCTCGCCATTTGATAATTTTGTCCCAGAGCATAAATGCTTTGATAGCTTTTCCTTTGTTGGCTTGTAATTTTCCATTATTATAGACTTATGTAGGCATTTTTCTAAACGATTAATCCAGGAAACAATCTATTCTTAATCTCCAACCAGTTCTTTAGTTTTGGCACGGAATAATTGACGAGCTTGTTGTCGCCCATGTTCTATGAACTTTTTTTCTCGTCTTCACTAATGCCACTGGTCTTACAAGAATTTGATCGAATCTCCTGCTTCATTGTGTTGTATTTGGTGTGTTCTGACAACAGTAATGAAACTCCTCCTCGGATATCTTGCAATCAGCCAGTGCTGTTGAAATATGATCCTCAATGCTGTTCAACTTTGCTTCGGCGAGTATACGAATACTATCATGTTTTAATGCTTTCTTTTGCAACTTACGAGAAATAAATTTTATCGCTATTCCTGCCAGTCCAGAGACTCTGGTCGCTATTTCCATGCCAAGTACGATAGGCATGGCATTTATAGTTTATGATAAACCAACACTAGCTACACCAAGTCCCATACTAGCTGTTACAAGCCCAGTGTCCACTCCATCGAGAGCATTCGCAGCTCTGTGATACTTTTTATACAATCCAAGTCTCAACTCCCTCTCCTTCTCTATTCGATGTTTTATGTCGTTTATTTGATGTAATCGAAATCCATCAACAGTATCCATCTTTTCAGATGCTTCATCGAGCACCGGATATAAATCCACAAGAGTGTTTAATTGGTCGAGTGTAAATGACTTGAGAGTATACATCAGCTTTATTAGATGTATATTATGTGGCATAAATATCTTAGTAAGCAAAATGACATCGGAAATATTAACTTGGGCGCCCTCAAGTGTTGTTGCAAGGGAGATAATCCAATATCAATAATACTGCAATGTTGACGCTGATGTTTTTTAAGCCATTTAATTAATAGACCCTGTAATGCAGGCAAGGCTTCTTCTGGTGCATCCCCCGACAAGACTTCAATAATAGGTGTAGAAAGACCATGTATAGCATTGAAGTTATTTAATATATCATTGAATTCAGTAACCAAATATAAACTAACTTCTTTTAATGATGGGCGACCCTATAACATATAGCCTGGGTCATCTGGCAGGGGAGCCACTAACACACTCTTACGTTTTGAGGGAATATAAGCCCCAGTACGATCCCACTATTCATTATCTTAGTTAAATAATGTCCTTTACCCGTTGTCACATATGATGGGGAAATGATGATATATAGTAGCCACTCAATTTTTGCTTCGACCATAGCGCATTTATTATCATTGCTGCGAAAAAGATTGTATGAAGTGTTTTTATGGAAACTACTAATGCTGGTATTGTTTAAATCTTCAAGATTAGGTGTTAGTGAATACAACTTCTTTCCGCTTGTGTACAT